AAAATAAGCTTTCAGTACATGCACTAAACCTAGATAATGTCATGGGTTTTGGAGAATTTGCCTACAACTTTGCATTAATGAATCATAGATTTGTCCATAATGTTTTGATAAGTGCAATGTTTTAATCAATGAAAACGTAACTCTCCATGATATAGCACGATTTTGTAAGTGAATGTTAGATAATGATCAATCAAAAATTTGTTTTAGTGCTGGTCTCTCTGGAAGATTTTAGAAAAAATCAAGCATAAATGCTGTTTAAAATGGTCCTAACGAGATTTCAAAATTTTTCAGAAGATGTAAAGGTGTGATGTTCTGAGATGCAACTGTGATGTTTAGATGTGCCTCTGAAGTTTGAATGAGAAAAATTTAAATAAGAACTTTACCACACAATTTCTTCTGGCTTACTTATAGTTCATGATAACTTTATAAGTTAGAGCACACATCTGAAATACAGTTGTATATGCACACTAAGCTTTACATAGGCTATGCTCTGTTAATACCAGGAACATATTATATTAATTAATTATAATTAATTTTTTTCTTGAAAGGTTTCAGCGATACTAATTGTTAAATATGGAATTTAAATATAATTGACCAAAAATCACAGAATATTTATTACTTATGTTGTGTGATTTCTGTGTAATATTAAAAATAAAAAAACAAAGAGAAATTAGTTATCACAGACCTACACACCTATTTAGCTCATAAGCACCCAGGTATTTTATATTGCTAACAGAAGTGGAGTCTTGCAAATAATTTATATAAAGAGAAACAGCAATATACAAAAGTTAGCGTTGGAAAAATTACCTTTTCCATTTTCAGGTTTACTTAAGTTAGTGATGACTGAATATCATTATCAAAAGTTGGTGGGTTAGAGACCTAAACAGGATGGTTTTGTTGTCTCTGTTATTTTCCTACTTGCTAAAGTCCACTGTATAAATTATTATTTCAAAGGCCAATTTGGTTGGCAGCTTTACACAGAGAAGCCACAAACTGGAGACTTTCACTATCCCTCATTTAATCTGACCAGCATTGCATCACCATGATGTGTGATGGAGCATTTTTGTTTTGTTTTATTTTTATATTATTTTGCCAGGATATACAGGGCAAGGCAAAAGTAGGTTTACCAGTTGTTCATATGCAAAATAATACAATAATTAATAAATAATAATACAAGAATAAACTCTTCTTTGCATACTCAGATACATTACATATATATATATCCTCCTACACATTTCACTTTACCTGTGAGGAAATTTTTACTAACTTCATTCTACACCATTATGTAAATACTTGAGATATCCATGAAAACTTTCCATGGGATTCAAAAGATCATATATATAAAATTTAAAATATGAATACTATTTTAAATCAAAAATTAATTATAAGCCATAACCAGTAGATTGCAAGGGTTGGTTTTTATCAACTATTAAATGTAAATATAAAGCTTTATTATTTATATATATTTATATATCCATATTTATATATTCATATATATGTGAATGTGTGTTGTGCTTCAGTATAAGTAAAAAGAATCTCTGAAAAGTCATCAACTGCAAGAAATAATAAAATAAATCATTCATATTAATTACATTTTAAAGTGATCATAATATATGAGCAATGGCAAATAAAAATTCTTCTGCAAATTTTACTTCACAATTTTTAACTTAATATTATCTTCTAGTGTCAGACAAATATGTATGATAATTTTGATTTAACTGATAATTTTATTCTTAAAGAAACTACTTGACTCTGGTATAAGTAGCTTTACAAAGTATGAGAAGAAAGCCATTAAAATGTCTACCATCGATTTCAGTACTATTTACTGAGTCTTCCCTGCACAGGTAAAGTTAAAGACACTGATTTAACCTTTGGATCCACATGATCACCATCACATTGAGGCTTGCATGTGTCTTTGATTTCCACTAAAACTGAAGCACACCATGTCCTGGAAAAACTCATTACACTGAGTGATGGAACATTTGTCATTTGTTTAAAACCCCAAACCTAATTTATTTCCTTGTGATTTCCATAGCTTGTTCTGAAGTCTTCATTGCACCACACATTCCAAAGGGAAGATTACATGATATTCTTGTATTTCATGAGAAGAGTGAAATTTGACTAGTTGTGTAGGAGAAATAAACTGTTATGCACCATTTAGAAAAAGAAGCACTTTGACATTTAGCTCTATTCCATATCTTTAAGGAAGGAAAAGTATCTCTGGGTGAATGTCTCTTGAAGATAATTTGTAAGTGACTGCTGAGATTTACAGAGTTCTCACATTTGCTTCCCCCACAAGGATTCTAAATCAGATTGGTTCAGAGGAAAAGCCACCATATCCCATTTTTCTAATATTATCACTTCTCCAGATGGCCCTCGAACCTCTGTTCAATTCCTTTTTCCTAGAGAGTAAAGAGGTACCTTATTAGATATCTATGTACATCCACTGCAAAAGCTGCCTTCTTGTTCTTCTTTTTCTTTCTCACTTAACATATCAAATCTCTTTTCTCTCCTACCAGAAAGCAAGCACAGTGATTGCCTAAAACTTTGTCTTGGCAACCTGAGCAATGAGGGAGTTAATGGTGGATCTTTGAAAACAGTGACATGGGAAATTAGAGTTGGCAGGGATTTAACTCTTCAAAAACCATGCTGGAATATTTTTAAGGGCAACGCAGTGGATGTTTTAACTATGTTTGACATCTAATTAAGGAGGAAAAAGAAGCAGCTAAGAAAAAAAATGTCTAGTTTAGTTTAGAAACAAAGTATTTATAATTGGCTACCAGACTTTTACTTTAGCAAAATAAGTGTACATGGAGAGAAAGAAAGGTAATGACAGACCAATAAAATGACAGGAAAAATTGCTTGGGCCATTGCTCTTATTCTTCTTACTGTTGTTCATTTCACAGCTTATTTTACCAAATTGCCAAATTCTAGGTATATCAATGGAATTTTTATGTAGCTGTAGGGTAGTTTTTTAGTTAAAGGAAAGCACAATAATTATAATGGATGCCATTGCTAAAAAGAGCTTAAAAGATAGTGTCAGATACATACACCTTGTTAATACATACAGCTAACTTCATCAGACAAGTTTAAAGCATGTGTACATAACAAAGGTTATTCTAATTAAATGCTAGCTTTTTAAAATGGAGAGCAATATGCTACCAGGTAAATAAGATTCTTGCAAAATAAATAAATATAACTCTCAATTCTTATTTATTTTACAATTCATTTAGCACTTAGACAAGTAACTGTGATTGTAAGATCTTTTAAATGTATTTCATGTTTCAAACTTATTTTAAAATTATAATCTATAGCCATTCACTTCTTCAAGAAGTAGTTGCATGCAAAACTTACTTATAAGGAATATAAACTTACATAAAGTGGACCATCAACCTGAGAATTAATTGATGACATCCTCTCAAAGAGTGAAAATAGAGAGCAAAAACTGATGCCAACATAGATGCCATAATATCATATACTATACTAAACAATTTAAAGACAGCTACTAAACAGAGACACAATAGAGATTAATTAAATATTAATGGAGTCTATATGTTTTTAATATCTTAGATGAGTACAATTGCAATTGCTTGCTCATGTTTAAAATGCGTTCACATTTTAATAAAGAAAATGTTATGCCAAAAACAAATATATTTTCCAAGTAAGTGTGTTTTATCTAACAAGTATTAAGTCCAAATAAACACATTTAATAGGTGTCTAATTTTCTAATCCAAAGTGTGAAAAATACACCCTCCTTTCCTATTTGTGGTCCTCATTCACACCCGAGCATTCAGAGAGATCATCCCCCTCATGTGAAAATTAAAGACTCTGGTTGCTGGCATAAGAGCAATGTACAGTATATAGACATCTCTGCAAGAGAGATTCAGTAAATTTGCTTCCCATTATAGGCTGAACACAGAATATAATTGAAGCTTCTCACTGCCCCACCCCCTATTCTAGAAATCTGAGAATCATAAGAAAGCAACACCTTAGGGAGTAAAACTACTTGAGTTCAAACAGTTTAATCTGAAACTCCACTTTGATAATACCTCAGTTATATAAGTATTTCCTTCCATTACAAGTTATATTTATTATTTTGGAATCCAACTTAGCATTATTTTATACAAATTCATCTAAACAAATATAGAACAACTATTTTTCTTTTAAAACCATCATTAAGAAACATGCATGCACATGAAACTAGAACCAAATAAAGTATTAGCAACCATGAAATAAAGCTTTTTTTTCTTTCTTAAATTTATACTTTTTTTTTTTTTACAAAAGAAGTTCACACTAGTTCTACAAGTAGGAAGTAGTGTGTCTTCATTTCTTACTGAAGTACGTATGGAATTAAATAACATTATATTTCACAGACTCTGGCTTTACCCCAATTAGCCAAATACACAGTCTTTTGTACAATCATAACACACTGTGGAAAAACTAGTCTGTTCTCTCCAGTTTATATTCTCTTGGCAAACCACGATCTACTGCTTATGTTAAGCATCTGATTGTCAGATTTGAACAAACTGAATATTCATGATGATGATTAACCATTTAGTGTCTAAAACTAAGACAACACAATTTGTCATAACAATTCTTATAGGTGAGGCATGCATATCTAAGAAGGGACCATTTTTTTCAATAGTAGTGTTAAAGATATTTAAAAAGAAGTAGGGTCAGAAAAATTAACAGAACACATGATCACACAGACAGATCAGCGTTTCCCAGGCATTCAGCTCCTCTCTGCAAATGTGATTAAATGTTCTTTGTTTGCATTTAAATTGTCATCTCAAACAGAAGGCATGCTTTCATTTGTCTATTTTTTTAAAAGTGCTTAAATCATCTCAGAAAGACGCACCCAGTCATATAGGTTCCCCAGGTTAAACTAAAGGTTTTATGGTTTGGGTTGGGAGGGAGTTCAAGGAATAAAAAGGGAGGGGGGCGACTGAGGGGGTATCACACAGCTAGCCAAATAAAAGAAAAAAAAAATAAAGATTTACCTTTGTAGGATAATTTCAGCCTTGGCACATTGTTCTTCCCATTCTGATAGCTGGCTCTGGCTGTAAGTAACACTCCCCAGAAAAGACAGGCGATCCTGGCGAGCCAGCCCATGCTGCAGGCGCAGCGGGTCCTGCTGCTTCAGGCTTCCCTCCTGTATTGTGCGGCCAGAGAAGTTCAAACAATCTGAAAACTGGAGGTAACAGGTGACCTAGGTCAGTTTCATTCATAAAAGCAGACAAGCAAGACTTCACCGCAACACCAACACCTCTTCTTCTGTAACAGTCACTGAAGAAACTTCAAAACCTCCACCAAAAAAAAAAAAAAAAAAAAAAAAAATCCGAGCCAGGCACCGGATAATGAGGCACAACTGTTGTGTGGAAAGGAAAAAAAAAATTAACCAGGGCTGCTGCAGTGGCGCTTAAGAAGCAGTTCCTTTTATCTAGGCTCCTCTGATAGCCGGTGGCAGACTCTAATCCTGCTCCCTGCTTCATTCGGCACCGGGGAAGCAGAATGAAAGGGAAACGAGAGAGAGAGAGAGAGAGAGAGAGAGAGAGAGAGAGAGAGAGAGAGAGAGAGAGAGAGAGACCGTGAGCAGCGCGGACTTTTCCTGTACACATGTAGGGAGAGATGACACAAGATCCCGCAGACAGGTTCCCCCAACACTCACTAGACTGGCTGACAATGGGAGAACAGGCGAGCTCAACCCACTCCCCTTCCCTCCTGTCACACAGCACATGCAAAAAACATCTCCTAGAGAGATTAGAGCCGGGAGCAGAACCCTCCAGCGTGCCTGTGAAAGGCATGTAGCCATAAATTGACTTGCAGAGGCAAGCGTTGTTTTATAGCCATGTTAGGTGCAATTTTGATTTTAAAAATCTGAATTCGGCTACCTACATAATGTAGAACTCATGCTCCTGATAGAAGTCTGCTGAACTTGCGCATTATCCGCGTGAATGTAATGTATACAGAGAGATCTGCATATGCATATGTGTGTATCTGCATATGCTTGCATCAATATAACTTTAACCACGGAAGGTTTTAAAGCCTCGTTAGAGAGCCTTTCCTCCTCCCTGCAAGCACACTTGGCTCAGCCACCCCCTTCCCCGCCCCACTGCAATCTCAGCAAAGAAATTCCTAGTAAAGCCCATTTCAACAATCAGTTCAAGACAAATATAGGTCCACCGAGAATTATAAATTACAACAGGGTATTCTCAAAAGGATACTCAGAATTTAAAAAGAGCTAGGGTTTTCCAGCTTCTGGAATGCTCTGGCTAGCATTTTTAATGCATCACATCTCATTAATTAAAGCCACTTCCAGAGTTTTGGTTTTAAAGGGCAGAGGAAGATGACAAAGTTCACCAAAGTCCCTGCTGAGTATTAGGGACCGACAGAGAGAGGATAACTCTGTGTCTTCATGAGCTGATAAGGGTTCCTACATTTTCTGCGGACACGTGAATGTATTCCGGCGGTCACACAACATCATTAGTTCTTTCCTAAATAGGAATACTGTCTGAGGTGTTTAAGTTTCCTCTTCTATTTTTTTTCTTTTCATTTTCCCCAAAGCTGATATTCTTATAAGATTTTGTGGAGTGTGATATCTAAAGGTTAATAGGACAGACGTTTCCTTCTTTACTCTTCACTCCCCAACTCTATCTGCCCTGCACTCTCCCCACCCTCCAAGCCACACCACGTACACACCTGAAACAGGAGAGAGAACTCTCCTTCAATAATACAAAAATGTCTCCGCTGAAAGAAGAGGGTGGGTCTCACAATTTATACATAAACACGCATTGAAAGTGGTTTAGTAGCCGCATAAAAAAAAAAGGTCTGAGCTTTGTCATGCAGCTTTTATTAGTTAATGTCTACAGACCAATAAGAGAGCATCCCCCACATCTCTCTCTCTCTCTCTCTCTCTCTCTCTCTCTCTCTCTCTCTCTTTCTCGCTGTAGGTGGTGGAGGAGGAGGAAGAAAATGAAGAGGATTTAAAGGGAGGAAAATGGGGAAGGGGATGAGGGATTCTCTTTCTACTTCACTAGTTGGATTGATTCATCAAACAGATCCATATTGTATTTGTCAGTTTCCAACAGCCTATTGATCAGTCAGTATTGTTAAGAAAATAAAATCCAAAAATAATGTTGATTTTACTGATTCCCACACTTGTTATCCTGAGCACCTTTCAAGCTCCGGGCAATGGCTTAAGGCTACAAATGACAAGAGGCTTGTCTGTCTTCCATGGATTATCCTCTATAGACATTCATTCTGCAGAGGAATTCATGCCACTTTGGCAGAACGGGACTAATGAATTATCCTATTGACATATCACAAACAATCAGTTTAAATACCTTAAACGGTTATGCCATTTTCATTAATATATATTTTAAATGTCTCAAAATATTTATTCTTTCTCTAGCTCTAGTTACTTAGAGTAGGAGAGCAAGTTTATATTTGTCAAAACTTAACAGAATAAGCAAATTTAGAAATGTATCCATTTCACTAGCATAGAGACTAATCCTGACAAATAAAAGGTTGTAGGTAAAATCAGTTAAAAGAGGGTCAAAATTGATTCCATGGGGAAGAAAGACATTCAATCTGGATTTTAAACCACAAAATCAGGACAGACTTATTTCATTTTATAAAACAAATAGTTTAAATTAATGTTGAAGCCTGGAATTTGGTAACACAGACACATAATAATAATAATGATAAAACTTTGATATAATTATTTATATTTGACATTTGTCCTACTCTCCATTTTTTATGATCCTTGTATCCTTTCAGATGTTTCAAAGTTTAATAAATTCACATTAACATTTACTTATCTGTATTATGTTTAATTAAAAATGAAAAAATCATAAATTCTTTAGGTAAGCATAACTGTCCTAGAATGATTAAATTATAACATAGTGGAAAAGTATAAGCATATCTAGATGTTTTACTGTGATTTAAAAAAAGAAAAGAAAAAGACAAACTACATGACTATAAAATACTGAAAAAAGTATTAGGATTAGTATGTGTTTACCTCCTTTAGTCTTTTGACTTTGGTCAGGGTCAAATAAGGTCATTTTCAACTCTTTTTTTTTTTTACATATAGCACCAATAAGTAAGGGATAATCAAGGTTAAAGCTATTTCTGAACAGAGAGCGGTGGGCCTGGGTGGGTGTTTATCAGAATTTACAAAATCTGGCTGCTTGTGTGGCGTGGAGATTTTGATTCACGCTTCTCCCCACCGGACCCCTCCTCTGAGAATCTGTGGCCTAATCCTTGACAGGATCGGGCCTGCTGAATTTGCCACCTCAGCCATTGATTTTACACAACTTACTTCTTTATAAAAGTCAAAAATATATATATTGACCTTTTAATGTTGAATTTTATTTAAGTTAAAAGGGAAAATGTTATTTTTGTTTCTTTCTCAAAGCAATCTCTCAATTTTTAATTACATTATAACCCACAATCTACATCACGTGATATAATTAAGTCTATTTGCAACTGAGTTCCTAATATCTTAAGTTTCAAGTTTTCAGATATGATTAATTCCTAAGACAGAGTCAAATCTGAGCAGGTACTTAATATGATGATCATGCTGTTGTGTACATTTCTGTCAAATTAATCAATGGTGTTTAACCTCACCCCACTCCATTTTGAAATGCATTACACAGACAGCAGTTTTCTGAGTGGTTTGCTTGATTTTCTAGAGACACAACATTTCATTTTCACAAGAGGTTGGTTAACTCTTACTTTTCAATAATAATAAAAAAAAACCTGTATAGTCAGAGAAGATATATATTGAAGCATTTCTCCATTGGAAATGTATTTCTGATCTTTTGATGAATTACATAAAACCAATGTGAATAGACTACTTTTAAAGGTTCACTCTCTAATTTTGCTACTTATTATAAAAACAAATTGGGATAACAAACACTGCAATTTAAGAGCAGAAATTGTTCTAATTTGGGAGGTGCTCTTCCAAGTACTTCCCCATGTTATAGATACTCAGAATCTTTCAGTGAATGGTAGGTGAAAAGATTTGCTATATTTCTGTATAAAAGAATGTAGGGAAATATGTATAGTTTAGCTGTATCTAAAAGGTTTAGTGGATTAAATGTGCCTAAAGTGATGGTACACTTTATTAAACACCCTTGTCTTTCCTTGCAATCCCACTCCATCCCCGTTTTATTGTGGTTAGATACAGTAACACCCCCAAAGTGTGTGCCACTCATAGAGGCAGGTGACCCCTTTAAGATAAATTACTGAGTTAAGACTTTCAAAATGAGTTGGTTTTTCAAAAAACAACACCAGGGGAAAAAATATGAAAAACAAACAAAAAATATCAGTAGTCTTTCTAAGATGTTGTTCAGTTGAGTTATGTAAAAGAGACAAAACTATATTACTTTTTACCTAACATCTGTTATTTCCTTTTAATCCTTCAAGCGAATGCTTCATTAGTATATGAGAAAGGCCTATGATCAACAGAATTAAAGCAAATGTCATAGTTGAACACTTGCCCTTGCTCTGATATCTCATGTCGGAAATTCATTTTTAATGAGGGTTTTTCTGGTACAGGGAATCTGAACCTTCTTTTTCTTTTTAAAAAGAATTGTGTGGGTGAAAACATTCTTTAGAAGATCAGAAACATCCTATTAATTGGAAAAATGAAATGGTTGATGTATTATTCGTTCTAGCCAAAATTGACAGCTATTTAAGATCTACTACAGTAGTCACTGGAAACTGGGGGTGGCAGGTTAAAAGTAATATTTAAGAAATTGTTAAACTTTTCATACTCTGACCCTTGTGAATGCTTTTGGTATAAGCAACACGTGAAGCATGAGCTGAGAGGAGGAATTGGTAAAAGACAAAGGGAATTCAATCTGGGGAAGCGTCCACGCCTCCCTAGCCCTCCCCCCACCCCATGAATACAGTTTACAGTAAAGCAAGCTTGTTCCTCTAGAGTCTAGACTGAATTTGTAACAGTTTGGGGGGAAAAACAAAATAGTTGTGTGTTTTCTCTTGTGACATCTATGTTCATGTCACTTTAAGGTAAGTAGGTATTTAAGATAAAAGACTCCTTGCTTTTCAAATGAAGTAATAAATGTTAAAGCAATGCTGACCAGAAACTGGCCAGCCACATTATTTGTGCCTATAGATTTTAAGAGAAACTTAAACATTTAAGAGTTTCAAAAATTATAGGGGGAGTTCTTTAGTGGTGAGGTGAGGTGAGGTGAGGTGGTAGCTTCCCTTACCTTGGAAACTTGGTTTGTGGGGCTTGTAGGTAAGTTTTATTAGGTCACTACATCTGAGTGGGGGATGGGAGAGGGTGACAAAAAAAGGGATGCATAAAATTGAGTTTATGGTTAGTACCCATGTTGGTGAAAGTGGCCAAAATCCAGTTAAAAGAACATGATTGATCATTTCTTTTGATAAATATTTTTGACTGCTTAAATCAAGCATATTTTTCAACATTTCAAAATGTTCTAAACATGGGGTTTTTCCTTTTCCTTTTCCATCTATTTAAAGAGCTAGTTATCACTTACAGCTTCTTTATTAGATTATCTGATA